GTGTGTGTGTGTGTGTGTGTGTGTGTGTGTGTGTGTGTGTATTAACTGTTTCTTCTCTCTTCTGCTGTGCTAACTGAAGGTGAAGGGGGAGTGGGTAAGTTGTTGTTGTTGTTGACCCCGCCCAGTGTTGTGCCTCCACCAATCACAAGCCAGCTTTCACTTGAACTCTCGCTGTCATTGGCTCATCTCACGTCATCTCCACGTTCATTCATTTGCCAGTGGATGAATGGTTTTGTCGTTTTTGTACGAAATCATTCTAATCTGACGTGTAAATGTTGTTATGCTTGATTTTTTTTCACAGTTATTGAGAAGAATGATGATATGCTGTGATTTTAAAGTTATTCAATGTTAAGTGGAAGGAAACGCTACTTTGAGTTAGCTTACCTTAGCATAAAAAAAAATACAATAACTATATTTTGTATTACCAGCAAATACACTTCAACATAAATGAGATTAGACAGCTTTATTTCTATTCAAAACACATTGGAAGTTCATCTGCTTTTACAAAAGATTTACAAAAAAATCGTAAAGAAATGGAAATAAAAATTGATATTTAAAAGGGATTTTTTACTTCCAGTGAAGTTACCTGCCTTAGGTTTTAAAATGAGATGTTTTATATGAGTAGCATTACTGAGTTAGGCAGATTATTCATTATAAGAGTATGGTTGTTATGATAGAAACAATGTCAAGTTAATTTCTCTTACTCGATAATTGTATTAATTTCTGTAATTGTGCTTTCTGTAGTTTTACCTCTGAACAGCTGTTGTTGTGTCCATTGTTATTGTGAATGTTGTACCTTGTATCTTGACACACACACACACACACACACACACACACACACACACACACACACACACACACACACACACACACACACACACATCTCCATTAATAAAAATCCCTGTGTGTGTCAGCATGCTTCCACTTCATCTAACCCCACCCCTCTGCTCTGATAGGTCGATGAGTCCCAGACGGGAGAACCTGGTTGGCTGGGAGGAGAGCTCAGGGGCCGCACTGGTTGGTTCCCCGCCAATTACGCTGAACGAATACCGGACAGTGAAGCACCAATCAGCTTGCGAGCAACCGCCTCGGCCCCTCCCACTTCCGCCCAGCAGCCAATGAGCACGCCTCCCCCTGCCCCGGGACACGCCTCCTCCTCCGCGCCCTCAGCCAATAGTAACTGGGCTGACTTCAACACCACGTGAGTCAACGAGCTGGTGGCAAATCATCAGAACCAGGGTTTTAGTCCGAATATCATAAGAACTACACCAACTGTCTTTCCTTATTTGACGTTCAAAGTGGTTTTTTTTCAGCTTTTCCCATGAATCTCTGAGTTTAAGTTACCATATTTAAGCGCTTTGAGCACACGGGAAAGCGCTATATAAATCACATGTATTATTATTATTATACTGTTTTTATATCAAGCATCTTTGAATACCAAGAAAAGGGGCTATATAAATCAGATTTACTCAAATTATTTTACGACGTCCTTACCGTAAAAAACAATAATCTAACTTAATTAAACACTTATCAACAGCCTCAAAATAACAATTTATAACATGATAAAGTTGCTTTTGAAAGGCTAAGTGGCAAAACATATGTATTAAACAATATTTTAATCAAACAAAAAACTTTGTCCAATACATTTTGACTTTGACACTTTAAAAAGTCATAATCCTACATAGCCACTACTGTCATCTAATCCTACAAATACAAATCAACTTTGTATAAATGAGTGTAGCCTCACTTTAATCTGCCTCTGTGTTCTTTTTAATATAAATCTTTCCTTGGTGTGTTTTGTCTCCAGTTGGCCCTCTAACTCAGCCAGCCAATCAGAAAGCGAGGGCTGGGACGCATGGCCCACCTCTACGACCAATCAGAATCCTTCCCTCAGTGTTCCGTCGGCGCAGCTACGGCAACGCTCCGCCTTCACACCAGCTACCTTGACAACAGGCTCCTCCCCTTCTCCTGTGCTGGGCCAGGTAAGAACATTATAGTCTCTTAAACTAAGTCCAAAATGTGTTTTAAATATATAATAAATGCTTTTTCACTAATAACCTTTTCTTTGTTTGATTATCGAGTTGTTGCTGTGTTTGTAGATTAAAATCTGTACTAATTATTGCCTTTCTTGTCTGTTTTTCAGGGGGAGAAGGTGGAGGGTCTTCAGGCTCAGGCTTTGTATCCCTGGAGGGCGAAGAAGGACAACCACCTTAACTTCAACAAAAATGAGGTAGAGGAGCCATTCCCTCATATTAAACACACTATATATTACATTATCTTCATTAATAAGGTTCTCATTCATCCTTATAGTTGTGTGCTTTTACTTGAGTATAAACATATCTTGAAATATCCCAAACTCTTGAAATTGGTTGAAATTGATAGAAAAACTCATAACTAGTGCTTTATTTGTTGTATCCACTAGAAAAACATAAAAACAATGGATGTTAATAAGGATTTGCCTTTTATTGTTCTAGAAATGTGGGTACATATGCAACACATTTGGTTAAAATCACGCCTATTAACTGTTACCATATATTTTTCTATTGAGCATTTCTGTGTTTCTATTAGATTGTAGTGATGTTGTACCGTATATATATCTCATTGTTTCCCTGCTATTCTTTACCGCAGGTCATCACGGTGTTGGAGCAGCAGGACATGTGGTGGTTAGGTGAACTGCAGACCGGACAGAGAGGCTGGTTCCCCAAAAGTTACGTCAAGCTCATCTCCCCCACCATGACGCCCCCCCCGAGTACCGTCGCACGCAGCAAAAACCCAAGGTGGGTTACAATGTTGTTGTTAGAAAAATATCACTCGTCACCGGCTTGAGCTTAAATCTCAGGATCCATGTATTTGTGATCCTCTCCAGAATGGAAGTAGTCATCACATACAGAGCATCAACTAGTTCCTGAACAGTGTCCTTCACATGCTGATATCCAAGAGAGGGAGTTCCACAGTCACAAGATGGAGGAATACCGGTTCTTGTAGGAAATCATACATCCTGTCATGAACACAATACTGAGTTTTTCTCTAAATCGGGAAAATCACTTTTACTAAAAATGTTGACTTTTTCTCAAAAAATCTGACTTTTTCTGTATCAGAAAACATCATGGAATACTTTTTAAAATCTGACTTTTGCAAAAAAATCTGACTTTTACTAAATGTTTTGACTTTTTCTCAAAATCCAAAAATTCTGACTTTTTTCAAAAACCTGATTTTTTTGCAAAATTCTAACTTTTTTCCCTCAAAATGCTGACTTTTTTTTCAAAGAATCTAAGAATTCAGATTTCTTTCAAAATCCTGACTTTTTT